TGCTCGAGCGATACCTCCCTACTTTCTTCCCTCCCTCATTTTTTTCATGCTCTTTCAAAACGGGTGGAGTGGTTCTTCTATGCTTTGACTAGAGCATCCCGGGTGGGGGTATTGCTTGTTATCGCACGTGCCCTCCAAGCGGCGGAGATGAGCCGTGTCGTTGCATCTTTAGCTCGACTGCGTTTGTCACCCCCCCCCCCCCCGACGTGCTTTTACTCGTGGATATAACATACTCACAATGCGTGGGAGTATGCTATCAGTTTAAAATTAATATGACACATGACAACAATGGCAAAAGCCCATCAGGAGTGTCCATGTAATTTATATCGCGATAATGAGGCTATTGCACGGTATAGCTGAGCGTTTGAAAAGTGCAGCAATGAACCAATGTTGCATCAAAAGTGCTTTTACGGGGCTACATTTGCTCTGAATGTTCCTACTGTTCTAAACTTTCTCAAAAAACCACTTCTAGCAGCTACAAGCCTGCTCAAAAACATAATTCTGGATGCTTCAAGCTTGCTACAAAAAACGCTGTAGCTGTTTCCAAACCCATGCACCCTGTTACACCCCTGCAGAAGTGAATAACCTGAAATTAGAGAAACAACCTAGCTTTTGCATTTTGAAATTGCGGCAACCTCCGCTATCATACCCTTGTCGTAAGCTGCGCGGGGCTCTTTGACAGCTATGAATAGTCTTTTGTTTGCCCGGACATTCTTGTAAAAACGCCTTTTGTTTCCGGTCTAGAGGCGAATTTACAACGCTGCGTGATCTCCATCGTTCTGCCAACAAACACTTTGCAGTGCTTGTCTTCAACGGGTCCGACAGTAACCTGTGCATGCCACCAAGCACTGTTCTGGGTGTTTGCACGAACTTTGAAGCACCATATGTCGTGGCAGTACTACAGCCCGTAGCCCCTTCACCACCTAATGCTTCGCTTTTAGACTGGAATAAATTCCTCTTCATTCCAAACTTAACTACATCACAGAAAGGTGAGATTTACACACTCATACGAAAATTCTATGATTGCGTGGCTATGTCACACAGTGAGCTTGACCACACTCCTTTGGTGCCACACAGAATCAACACCTGCTCTGAGGGTCCTATTTGGCATTGCCCACGGCGAGTTTCCGCCTCCAAACGCGCAGAAATCACTAAGCTAAGCAAGTGAATTACATGCTCAAGCGTCAAATCATATCGTGTTCGTCGAGTGACTGGTCAGCCCCGTAGTCCTTGTTTGAAAAAATCAAATCAAATGAAGTTATTTTTTTATTTTCATCATCTACAATCTTACAGATGAAGAATAACAGACAAAATGCTGCCGAGAGGTGGTTTGACCGCTCCGCAGCCCTAAGTAATCTATGGTATGTGGGCAGAAGTCCAGTTCACAAACAAAAACATGAAAACATGATGAGTGCATAATGAAACCCGAGTATACAGTACCCTGCCAAAATCATACAAGAGTACAACAGCGCGATCAAGAAAGACGGCACAATCAGCTGTTGAGTTGGTTTTGCCGAACAGTGGCACTAAGCCTGCCGTATATTCCCTTCATCGTCTTGAGGATGCCACAGACCAACCTCATGGTGCCCGTTTTTTCGCTACGCTGGATCTTTTTTCTAGCGATTGGTAGGTGAAGCTAGACGCGAATATCACTGAGAGAACCGTCTTTATAACTCTGGATGGCCTATACCAGTTTAACCGCCTGCCATTTGGCCTCTCCGACGCTCCTGCTACATTTCAGCAATTAATAGATGGGTATCTCAAGTAGTCGATGTCTTTGGTTCGTTTGAAGGTGTTCGGAAAACGCTCCCGCGTTTACCGAACACGTTACGCGTTTAGAAATGGTTTGCGTGCTCTCCAAGACACTCGTCTTTTCATTAGGCCTTCTAAGTGCTTCTTCGGCTTCTCGGACATTAGAAACTTGAAGCACGTAGTCAGCGCCAAGGGCATCAGTCCTGATCCCACGAAGCTCCAAGTCATTGCATGTATTCGGTCTCCCAGCAAGGCTAAGCTCTTAAAAGTTCCTTGAGCATCGCTTCATATTTCATAAGCTTTCTCCCTTACTTCGCTTTCAGCGCGACACGAGCTTCGGAAGAATGAAATTTGCTGGAAATGAGATCCCGACACAGAATCTGCCTTCTACGACCTCAAGACAGCCATTTAAGCACCACCGACGCTGGCGCACTATGATGAGAATGCCCCAACGATTCTGCACACTGATGCAAGTAGTCTTGGCCTCGGAGCTCTTCTCTTGCAAGTCAACAAGGACGGGCAGGAGAAACCAGCCGCATATGCAAGCCACTGGTTCAGTGAACCAGGGAGCCGCCTGAAATTGAGTGCTTGGTGGTAGTTTCGGCACTCATGTATTTTTGTCTACATGTTTAAGGTAAATTTTCACGGTCGTTACCGGCAAAATCTCCCTTCACTGGAATCAAACAAAAAACACTTCATTGCTTTATTTGCTAGGTGGGCCCTCAAAATGCAGGATTACACCTTTCCTATTGCCCATCTCAGCAACACTCATGAACAAAACACTACCCGTCTCACCTACCCAAAGCTTTGAACAATATCTCCTCAGTCACTCCACTGATTGATTTACAAACCGCACAGCTACAATACGCCAAAAGTCGATGTAACCCAATGACTAACCGGGAAAGTGCGCACTACCAAACGTAGTAGTGAAAATTTTGCGGCATCGTATGTCGTCCGAGGTGGAATCATCGAAATAGACCATACGCGTTTGTTGTACCGTTATCCATGTGACATTAGGTACTAGTCATGTGCCGCTACGCCCCGACTGCCGGTCACATCTGGTTGCACAAGACGCTGGCACGCATCAAAGAGAGGTGATGGTGGCAGCGCATGCACAGTGATATTTCCCGCTACTTTTTGTCACGCACAGTCTGTCAAGCTTGGAAGGCCACCACAAATCTGCAACCAGTCCCTGTGCAACTCGTCCTTCCTCCGGAAACAGCTTTTGAGATTCTGGATCTTGATCATCTGGGACCGTTTCCACGTACTTCGCGCGGCAACAAGTTCCTCATTGTTGCCACAAATCATGGTCCATGGACTATCTAATGTAGTGAACCGAAGTAAGTGACGTCCCTGACTTTTCGGCGCAGCACGTCTTCACGTTCATCAACGAGAACGCCGTTTTTCGACACGGTACGCCACGCTTTCTCATTACTGACCGTTGTACAGCTTTCACCTCGCGCACATTTAGGAACATTTTGAATCATCATGTATTTCGACATGTCACAGTCATTCCTCAGCACCAATAAGCAAAATTTCTGGGGGAACGTAAAAACCATACCACAAATTACCTACTGTCGCCACATGTGAACCCTACTCATAACAACTGTGATGAATGCGTCCCCGCAGGCGTCTTCACCTTCAATACGTCACAGCAGAAAATCACACGAGACTCATATTTCAAGCTTGTGTATGGAAGGATGCTAAGGCTTCCGCAAGAGAGCTTCTTTGGTTTGAAAACGATTGTGCACAACTGTCCGGATCATACCAGTACTTCGGAGCTATACACCAGAAAGCTCGCTTTAGAGCACGCCTGGCCATAGCGTTTCACCATGTGAAATACAGCTCGTCTTCGTACGAGAATACCATCGCATTCAAACCTGGATTCCTAGTGATGATTTGAAGCACCAGGCATGTCAAACAGTGTTTTCAGGAGTTTCTTATCCGGTTTTCGGTCTGTTTCAGGTGGTGAGAGCTCTCCGCCCTGTTACATACCGCCTGGAACTTATTTACAAACAGGACACGAAAAGGAGAAACCGTGTTTTTTTCCTTCCATGCAAGCAAGTTGAAACTATATGTGCCGCGTGATTTCCGTATTCACGTCATTTCGTCATCTGGCTCGGACTTCAGGGAAGAGAGGGCGGTATGCAGTGGATCATACCGATGAAGTTACTGGCGCGGAATGGGCTGTTTAGTGAAAAACAAAGAAAGAAAATGAAGTAATGCCTAAGCGATGGTGCCACGTTGGCGCTTAAAACATAAAGTTCTTTTTTCTCATGCTTTCTCTCTGTTAGACAATATTAGAGCGATTTTTCTCCAGTTGAAAGAATGTTCTTATTAAACTGTCGAAAATTCACACCATTACATCTTGCGTTTTATCACAGAATAAACTATGTGCTGTTAACTTTTTTGTTTCTGCGTGCTTTTCCGCCACAAATCTAGCAGTCATATTTTATCCTGTAGCCTATCTGGCTAGTTTTCCGAATTGTCCATAAAACCCAAAGCAAGTGTAAGTTAGACTGGCACCTTAACACACACTCGCCACAAATCTAGCAGTCATATTTTACCCTGTAGCCCACCTGTCTACTTTTTGAGCTTGTGCCTGAAACCCGAAGCAAGTGTAAGTTGAATTGGCACCCTAACACACACTCGAGTGTATATTTGCTCATTCGAGAAGAGATCTCTATGTTATCTCGATTTATAACTACGCCTTCTAATACAACCAACCTTCCTTCAAGCAGCGAGTCTCTTCGCCTTGAATTATGGTAAAATGTATCCTTGCTTAATCCGTGTGTACCCATGCTGTATTTTGTTACTCAGAGATGGGTTTCTTCTATGCCATCCAGTTTTTTTTTCTTCTTCTGCATGACATTTTGTTGAACGCTCCTTCTCACCATGTTGCTTACACTGCCAGACTTGCTAATGATATTTTTGTAAACTTTGACTCAACGCTATTCTCGTACAAGTACCAGAACGCCTTTTCGTGTGATCTGCTCTCCTTCATGTTGCTGCGCGTCTCTTCGAAACTAATTGTCAAACCAGTGAAGTCACTACTGACTTCAGCATTAGTTTGTCTCCAACTCCATAGAGTAGTCTTTATTTTTTCGGCAAAATCTAGAACATCGCGTACCATCTTATTTTAAAGCATTTGTCTTAATATTGTTACAATGAGTGGACTAGATATCGGCCTCCTTATATAGTAGGTGCGCTTGACGGCAATAGAAAAACGCACTTGAAGCGTTACTTACAGTTGACCCAGTTGCCGTGACTGTTGTCGCGGCCACTTCGCTCCCGTGGACGTATAAACTCCTGTTCTGAAAAGAGACACGCAAGATACGTGAAAATGAGAGTTTTTCCCGAAGGTCGCAGCACACTCATAAAATTTGACGAAATATTACCAATGCACATAAGTATGTCTGACTGTACACTGACGTTACTGCTTACACTTTGCCATACATCTCCTTTAGCCAACTTTTTTTTTCAACCGTTGAAATGCAAGAAAAGATAGAAGCGGTAGCCTTTTTTTTTTGGATGCGCAGGCAAGGTTAACGCTCCGCAGCGTGCCCTGAAACGGTTCGGTTGACGCAAGCACCGTGTAGCTTTGGATTCTGTTGCCGAGATGCTACCAATGCTTGACGACATACTGCCCAAGGATACTGATGCAACATTCTGGCAGCAGCACTCAGCGCTTCGTAGTTTGCATGAGTGCGACTAGTCGAGGCGACGCTGCGGAGCCTTGGAGTTAAGCATGCTGACGACAATACCATGGTGTCTGCGTTGTAACAAGGGCATGCAAGCAAGCAGTGTAAAGCTGGCACCCGCCACGTCTTTCGGTAGGTTTCCTTTAAAATTTATTGTGAAGTCAAGCCCGTGAACAGTGCAAGTGGAGTGGCTATTGTGTACACTATATGTAAGGTGAGCTGAGATACGTTCTCTTTGGGGGCCGTACACATAAGCATCTTCAAACGAAACCCTGGTGGTGCACGAAGTTCGCTCTTCAGCCAGGAAGCTTAGCTGTATTGAGCCGAATACACCATGATGTAGTAGAACAAACCTAGGTTATTCCTAAAGCAACTTCACTGCATATTCATGAGATTCATGACTGCGGTATAAATTAAAGTAGAAAGGGGACTGTTTCCAAGATGCTTGCTCCTTTGTTTGACACAACTCTAATGAATTCAATAGACAGGACAAGAAAAGCTTGGTGGCCAAATATTTTTTACTTCAACTGTTCAACACTAATATTGACTTGCGTTCAACCGAGGTAAAGAGGACGAAAAAGCAGCTTTTTGGTGAACCCAATTATCCTTGTCATAAGTTGCCTGTCAGCTCTCTTTATTTTCGTGCCTGACAATGAAAATGAGCCCTTATATTTACCCTTTTTTCTCTCCTTTTGGTATGGGGAATGTGAACCCCAGCCTTTAAAATACACATTATTAGGAATCAATAATATGCGAAGCATGTGGAGGGACTATGTTGTAACTTGTTATTGCTATAGCAAATATATAAACACTCTCGGCTGGATTTTGCCACCGACGCCGGCGCTGGTGACCTTCGTCATTCATTGTATATGTATTTGCATTTCTATGTAAGAATAACGCAAGAAAAAAATTATCCAGAAAAAAAAAACTCCTGCGCACGGAGTCGAACGTCCGACCACATGCCTGTGAGTTTGTGGCATAGCCACTGAGCGACGCATGGCGGCCGAGAAGACAGCAGGCCTATCTGATACATTACGTCCAATGCAAGGCAGAAATCGGCACTGTATTCTTTCAAAAGTAGGTGGTCATTCTTTAGACTACTCTACTTGTCGCGTATGCGATACGGATCGCCCTTGCCGGCAACGGGCTCACTCGTGTTGTATATCGCACGCACGAAATGCACCGCGAAGGTCAGCTTGGGCGTCTGCAGTTCGCCTGTGCTTTGCGACCACTTGGAAATTGGCTGCCATTGCCATCGGCTTTACGTGTGGTCGCTCATCGAGTGCTCGCCTGTCTCCGCCGCAGCGATGAGCTCTGGGCTGACGATATTGGGCTGAGACCTCGTCGCTGTGTTTGGGGTTGTCAGAAACACGTTGCGGGTTCTCGTAACGAGCTTGGCTGTAGTATGTCGCGCGCTGTGTGTCCACCAGCACGTGCTGGCGGGGCTTTCGCTAGCGGCGGAACTTAGTGATAAATGGTCGCCATTACAGTTGGTTTTTCGTCAGTCGGTCGCAATGAGCTCGGCGCCATCCGTTGGCCGCTGCGGCGGACTCGCGTTGGCGCGCTGAACTAGCTCGAGTTTGTGGAAAAGGGCTGCATTACCATCGATTGCTTCGGCGCTAGCTTCAAACCAGCTCGGTGCATTTCGTGGCGGGAGCCAAGCGTACGCTCGCTCTCCTGTTCGAAGTTCGGTGGCGGCAGACACTCCGCATGCAGCGCCGTGTTTGGTATCGCGTTCGCGTGCTCGACATCGCTCGCTTAGGACTCGCCGACTTGTTAGCGGCACGGTGGTTCGCGGAGATGTGGCTGCGGCCGCCGCTCCTAAGCTGTTGCGCTATAGGGATAGAAATGAATCATTGACAATGTGTGACATCACGGTGAAATTATAAGCATGTCATAACTCACGTATGTTTTTATTTCACCTTGCACGTATTTTTCATATGCAGTCGTATTCATTCTCTGTCATTTGTGACTCACTATTTTACATACTTATTGTAAAGCCGTGGGCACACACCATGCTGAAGGCTGTGTGCACTGGCGTCTGCGATGACTGTCATCCATCTCTTTCGTCAGAGCAGCTTCAGAAGGACTGTGTGAGATGTGAACGTAAAGTTATTTGTGTGTGATATTTTAACGCTTGTTTTTATAATAGCGTGCACGTACTTGTCATATGCGTGTATCTTCATCTTCTGTCACGTTTGTCTAACTATTTTTACTATCTTATTGTACGTGCAGCCGTGGGAACACAACAGGCAGAAGGCTGCGTGCACTGGCGTCAGCAATGCCTGTCATCTATCGTTTCCGTCGGAAGAGCTCCACAAGGAGTGAACAAAATGTGACAATGGGACTGGACTTCTACACTCCACCAGGAATTCACTTAAAATAATGAAGAAATTTCATGCGTATGTAGAACAATAAAAGATTTCGATGTGTCACTTTTGTCTTTCGTTGTTGCCGTGACTGCGAATGCAGTTACACATAGGGGGCTAACTACTTTTTCGCGCGTTCTTCTCTGCGCATTTTCTTGCTCACAGTGCAGAAAAACAGGCGAAAAAAGTATTAGGCCTGGCGGAAATTAAACAAAAAACAATGTTTGAACTGGGGACAGAAAGTCCATCCGATTGGAGTATTTGAATGGATCAACCGTTCGTCCATCAAGGTGAAACTGTGAGTACTAACGGTTGCCTGGTAAGGTGTAAACGTGGGGATTAACAGTTGCCCTATAAGGTGCAAATCTGAGGAGGAAATGTTAGTCCTTTGAGGTGAATTGTGAGACTAACGATTACTAACTAAGGTGTAAATGTTAGGACTAAAGTTAGTACCTTGAGCTCGTCAGTGGGAACTAACTGTTAGACCCGGTGCTGTTAGTCCTTAAAGAGAATAATGGTTGTGGCAGCCCAATGAGTCACCAAAAGGACGAACCACACACCCTTTTAACACCCTTTTGCCTTAGAGTGAGGAAAAAGTCGTATGCTTTAGGCATCCACTGGAGCGATTCTGTTGTAGTTACTCTGCGTAAGAAAGTCCCTGCACTCGCAGCACAATCTTCGTTTGCGAAGACACAGCGAAGTAGCAACAGAGACACCTATTCACGTTCATCCTTACCTGTGAGTACTTTTCGCGTGTCATCAGTGCGTGAGCAACGCAGGGCGCGTTTCTATCTGCATGCCAATCTTTGCGTGACATTCCAATTTGTTACTGTCGCATTCATTGATGCTACTTTGCGGCAAAGCTGGGACATTCTATATAGCAAAATGCTAAGAAATAATACAAAAGATATTCAAAAACACAGGAAGTCTTCACCAGGCTAGACCAGCCGGGGCGTTTATTTCACGATGATTGCCTCGGCAGCAACGAACGAGCCATATCGCGTTAATGGTTATGTAAAAGAGAGAGCCATGAAGTACAATAAATGTGGCTACAATATATTCCCCCCTATTCGAAGTGCACAGCCTGGCCTCAGCTCATAGATCCGCTGAACGAGTAATGAAAGACTTTATGCGTGACATGTGGACAATTTGCGTGTTGCGACGACGGCGGTCAGTGACGGACTGAAGCGGGATCACGAGATAGTTCACCAGGAAAGTTTGCCGTAGAAGGGTGTACGGGCCAACGGACCGGTGAAGAAAATTTTCGCAGAGGCCCAACGCTAAAATCGGGGTCCATAGTTAGAACTTATCTCCGGAATTAAAGGTAACGTCGTGTCTTTTGCTATCTCACTGACGTTTTCGTCCATCTTGAGTGATGATGATGATGATAATGATGAGTGGTTTTTAGTTGCGCAAGGGCCAACTGATGGCCAAAGAGCACCATTTCAATAGACTAGAGATATGAACAATGATATGATGCGTGGCTGTGTAGGGGCCTTAAAATTCCTCGTGCTAATGCGGGTTGAAACATGGAAGTTTTAAAATAATGACAGTGGCGTGAGATATGTGCAGTGAAAGCGGATGGCAAAATGTTATGGTAATAAAACCACGATAGAGATGTAGTTAGCGCAGCCATGACCACGGTACAAAGGTCGTGCTTCGGATGACCTCTAAATATGGTGTTAAAGCTATGAACATCTTATAAAAACGTTAAAAGTGATTGCAGTTTAAAAAGCGGATCCCTACCGATTAGCATCCCAGGGTGTAGAGGAAGCTGCTGTCGATAGGGCAGTAAAAAGTGCTTTTTAAGAGCATATAGCTCATCGCACTAGATAAGAATGTGGAGAACCGTAAGTGGTTCTCCACATCTCTCACAATATGGTGGATTGCCGCTAGATAGAAGATATGAATGTGCGGAGTGTGTATGTCCTGTTCTAAGCCATGTTGTCTTAGTTCTGTGTGTCGTGATTTGGATAGTGGCAGCCAATTACCTAGTTGTGGCTTAATAGCATGGAGTTTATTGTCTGTGTGCCTATCCCACGTACTCTGCCAACACCCCCTGAGCTTTCGTTTTAGAAAAGCTTTCAAGTCAAGTGCAGTGATTGGTATTGATGCATTGGAAGTAGTGTCGTGGGCGGAAGCAGCCAGATTGTTTGCCAACACGTTCTCTTGTATCTCATGGTGCCCTGGCACCCAGAGGACAACAACATGCTGTTTTGATGTGTACAGTGTGCACACAAGTAG